ACCTGGCCTTCTGTGCACATCGGGACTTAAGTATACTGTAATGAAAATACTTTTTCATCTTTAAAGAAAAAAATCTGTACTTTGTCATCAGAAGCTGCAGTGCCTCCTTCCCAGGTGCTTCTGAGGCACAAGGCATGTGATGGGCCTGTCCAGTGTGGCAAATCCTTGGGTGACTTCAGGGCCCAACTCTCCTCAATGTCTACCCTCTGAGGTCTGTAGTCACTGATGGGCAAGTGCTTTTCTGCATCCGAGCACCTTTACTAAGTCTTCTCTGTGATGTGACCATTATCGTTTTGTGCTTTTAATTCTGCTAACAATATGGAGTTTGTGAGGGTTCTGTGGCCACCACCGTGTGTCAAGGCTGACACGCTTTACCTGGAATTCTTGACTAGGTAAACTTGTAACAAATTTGGTGGTTCAAACAGGGATCTTACACCTTTTATCAGTGTGTGGTTGGCCTTGCGGCCTCTGAACTACTCAGAACAAAACCCCCTGCCATAAGAGCAGTGATTGTTCTGTTGAAAGAGAGTGCTCATTAAACATCCAGCTTCTGGCTTTCAATTTTTGAAGCAAATGCTGTCATATAAAATATATTTATGCTGAGTCTGGTGGTACTCACCTATAATCCTAGCACTCTCATAGGCTAAGGCAGGAGGATTGCAAGTTTGAGCCCAACCCAGGCAACTTAGTGACTTGTTGAGTCCCGGTCTCAAAATTTAAAAAAAGGGCTGGGGATGTAGCTCATTGTGAAGGGCCTGGGTTTAATCCCCAGTCACACACACACACACACACACACACATACACACACATGTACACAATGCACACATAAATATGTAAAAGGGATAAAAGGGAAAGTGGAAGCAAGGTACTGAGTGGTCCTAAGTCTGGTCTAGAAGTTAACTGTGGAGAAAGTTTGCAGGTTCCCATCTGTCAGGAGAGCGGCTGGTTAGACCCAGAGTCATCATGTTCTGTAAATGACTCTCCTCTCCCCAGGGAGGCCCCGTCCTCTGGGCTGTGACCACTTGGAATGCAGCCAAGGCTAAGGCAGGATCCAGCACCCTCTAAGCAGAAATCCTCCTCTCCATTGTTCAGCATTCACAGAGCTTCTATTCTGACCAGCGGGGCAAAGGCTTTGACAAGCAAGGCTGCCTGCCCTCATGGCGTGTGTCCCTGTCCTGGACAGGGCTATTACAGGAGAGTTATGCAAACCCTGGTACAGTCTAACAATTCCATTGCAGAAATGAGTCCTGTGAAAGTGGGCTTCTGGCCCCTAGTATATTGGAATCGGCAAAGCAGAATGGAGAGTGTGGAAGTAAACTGGTAAACTGGTAAGAGGAAGAAACAGAAGCTGACACAAGTGAGTCAAGGGTGAGAATAAAAATTCTTTCAAGCAGAAATCAGTTCAGAGTTGCTTGGACCCACTCTACTTTTCCAGTTGATTCTGAGAGCATGGCTGTTCTGTAGTCAAATGTCTTATTAATTATAAGCAGTTACCTGGTTTTAGAAAGCTCTGTGTTTTGTATTAATTAGTTTTTCCCCCAAGAAGCCTCTTTGGCAAGTTTTTGAATACTTATGTCCCTGGGACCCCAGCCCCACATCTGTCATTGTCTAGAAGACAGGACCTCAACTGGCTTCATTCCTGATACTGAAGAGTAGTTTAGACCAAGTCTCCAGGGTGCATGCTGGATGAGGACAGGGGTGTCTGTCCCTTTCTCCACTGCCTTATGACCAGCATGTATCTCAGTGTCTAGCACAGTGCTTGCTCAATGAGAGATGTTACTGTCTGGGGACTGAATGAGCAAATAAGCTTTGTTTGGTCCCCACATTGGGTTCCACCACACTAGAACCCAGGGCCTGTTCATCCCAGGGCTTCCAAGGCCCCCAGACAATGCAGTCTCTGAATTTATAAGAACAGTGGACTGGGTTCTTTGGCCAGGCCCTCTCTGGTCCACTGGCTTCCTGGCAAATGGTCCAGGGAGCCAAGGTGGGCGGGGTGGCTTCTCCCAGCCTGCCCTAAATGCAGGTCTGTCCAATCTGGGGCCAGGGTGGCAGGTGAGTGAGGTCCAGAGCACATAGAAATGAATACAAATAGTTAAATTGCACTGGGGAAATTCTTTGGCCTAAGAATTCCTGATTTGTTTTTTTCTTCTTCTTGACAGAGACAAGATGTCCTCAACAGAGGGGCCAGAATAGGTGTCTAGACATCTAAATTCATTAAAAGAGACAACTAAAAGTCTGTAAATCATTGGAACAAAGAATATTTTTTTTTAGCAGAGTAGAAACAAAGTTGTCTTTGCATTCTTCTCTGCAAACTGGCCTTGCTACAACATGGGAGTAGGGAGGAGGCCACGGCAGTGGCCAGGCTCCCAGGATCCACAGGGCACAGCCAAGCGTGGCTTCTGTGCTGCTCTCACCAAGTGTGTCACCCTGGAGCCTGGGCCAGCATCGGAGCAGTATGACAGAACAGTCCTTGAAGCAGTGACCTCTCCACATCATATGAAGAAATTAGCACACCCCAGGCATGCACAGCTTCTTTAATTTGAGGCCTTGGGGGAAGGGGAAGAAGTACTGGTTTTATTTCAATCTCAAGAGAACAACTTGAAGCGTCTGTCCATATATATAATCAAATCAAAATTGGAGCAAAGAAATAAATGTCTCCTTGGCTAGCACTGCAAACACCTTTCTCTCCTTTTGTATGTTGTAGTTTTGAGGCCGAGAACCATGCATAGATCTTGCAGACATGTGGGGGGAGGCCTTGGAATGGCTGCCTCCTTCTGGTGGACACAGTGTCCAACACAGTAGAACATCAGGAAAAGGAGCAGATAGAGGGCAGAAAAGTAGCAGGGAGATGCTGCAGCAGTGGTTGAGGGTTTGGAAACCAGGTGACCCCACAGGGACAGCCCTGTCCTTAAGCAGGGAAAGGCAAGTGGCTGTCCTGTTGTGTTCGTCCAGGGAAATTGAGTACTACTTAGCCATAAAAAATGAGAAATTAGAGACATTTATAGCTAAATGGATGCATATAGAGGCCATACTCTTAAGTGAAATAAACAGGACACACGTGTATAAATACTGAATAGCTTCTCTAGTGTGAGAAACTGAAAGTGTAAATAAGGACTAAAAGGTATAATAGATAATGTAAAATAGGAAGAAAAGGGGCAAAGGGAAAGGGAAAGTGGGAGGGGTAGGGGAAAGGAAAGAAGGAAATGGAATCAATATGAGAAAATGTAAAAATGGAAACAAAGTCTTTATAAATAGGGAGGGATGGAGGGGTTGAAGGGAGGGCAGGAGAATGGGGAAAAAATAAGAACCAAGAGAGATTATGTAAAGGTGCAAATTTCCAATTAAAAAAAAAAAGAAATTGAGTAGAAGCCTTGAACAACCTCCTGTAGAAAGGAGCTATGTGCAAGCTCCCTTCACTCCACTCCTGCAGGGGAAGCACTTCTGAACCAGGGCAGCTGCTCTCAGAGCTAGGCTCCAATGTGGAAGTCTGGTGCCCATCATATGTTCCCCACATCCTGGAGAAAACTCCTAGACACGTTTTGTCATGTCCTCCTTCTGACTGTTAACATTTAGGCTTCTGACCTGGAGGACAGGCCCCAAGTCCTGGGGCTGACCTGGCCTGGCCTGCCCTTAAGTCTCAGCTCCTGTCTCTTCCCCCACTCAGTGCTAGGCTCCAGCTGGGACAAACTGTTTGCAGCCCTGTACCCACCAGGCCATCTTTCATCATGGTGCCTTTGCTGTGCTCTTCTTCAGCCCCATGTAATAGTTTCCACCTGGTTACCCAGGAAGTCTGGCCACATTCAGGTGTCAGTGTCTGTACCACCTCTACCATAAAACATTTTCAAGAGGAGCCTCTAGCATACATCCAGGCTTGTTACTGTCTGTTTTCCCCTCACTTCAGCAACTTAAGGGTAGGGGTTTTGTCTGCTTCCTTCTACTGTCCCAGGTGTCTAGAACAGTGTGCGGTGTCTCTCAGAAGCCGACATCTCCTGCCTAAGCAGGAACTGCCCAGAACAAGGCTGGAGGTATTCATCACCTCCTCTCCCAGCACTGCTGAGACAGTGAGTATTTAGGACCAGCTGGTGATTGAGAGCAGGAGTGAGGAGTGAATGCTTGTATAGAAACAAAGCTCATGGTTCTGGCCTTCCCCAAGAACAAATCCCCTCCAACCTCTGTGCTGGAGCCTCTTCCTTCCTTCTCTAAAGTTGTCTATTCTGTGAGAAACAGTTACTGTTTAAAAGAAGCATGTTATAAATTTCCTTCCCAGGCATCCTGAAGCACGAGGAGGTTGAACAACATTATTCCACACAATTAGCCAACCCTAAAAATCATGGGTTCTATAATTTGCCAGAACTACAGAACTGTATACCCCAAAGAGCTGCTTCCATCTTTTGGTACTGAGGATCAAGCTTGGGTCCTTGCGCTTGTGCAGCAGGCAGCAAAACCACTGAGCTAAATCCCTGGCCCAAGAGCTGTTTCCATCTTAATTGAGAAAGAGCCCTGTTGCTAGATCACTGGTCTTGGCAATGATACAGATTCACCATATCACCACACATTTGAAGGCTACTCTATTTTGGGTTTTCTATGCATTTGCAATAACTCTGCCTCTACTGCCACTGGGGTTGGGGGTGTAGGAGAGAAGGCTGGTCACACAAAGCTCTGGATAATACACTAGGGGCCCGGTTCCAATGACCCAGAGCAAGTCCTATCTTCTCTGGCACATCCCTGAAGGCCTGTGAGTGTGAAGGCATCATATAATCCTGTGCTACAAGCATTCACTTGTGGACAAACCCTGTGCTTCCAAAACTGCAGATACTACATTTAAGTAAGGTAAATAGAGGAAGAATGCAAAATACACTTTTTTTTTAAAGGAATATAAGAAGTCATTACATAAAACATTCCAACTCAAAATTGTCAACTAGTATCTATTCTGATTTTCCAATCCAGCTTATTTAACTGGTGTCTGTGTCACACACACACACACACACACACACACAAAGTACTAGAAAGACTGGGTCCTTTACAGGCTAGCAGAACATATGGAGGAGGTGGCAGGGACGTGGGGATAAATGAACAGACAGTATTTAACTGCCCCGAAACACAAATATTCTAGCTGGCTCCTGGACCTTGCCTGTAGGAGAACTGTAACAAACTCTCCTCGCTGTGGAGCTCCTGGGTGGTGTGAGAACTGCAGGCTCAGAAATGCAGAGCAGAGGCTGATAGGTTTTCTGGCGTTAGCTAAGCAGCTGCCAGAGAGCAGGGATGCATTCCACAGAGCGTTTATGGGCTCACCAGCACTAGTCTATGACAATTTTATTTAATCATAAAAATATAATAGTAGCCAAATCTTTTTGTAGTTTCAGTTTACTGCTTTCTCAAGTGAAATAAATGGTCTCTCAGATTTCTTCTGCTTTCATCTCTCTGCTCTAAGTACAGTAGGATAAGGTTCCAATTAAGGCCCATTAAATGTTCACATTGATTCATGCGAGCCATTTTCCAGTTTCTCTGTCTATCTCTGGTGTGTCTTCAGTCTGGCCACTGCCTGTGCAGAAGAGAACTCTTTGGGTGTGAGGCCTCCTGTCTCTGCACCAGGTGGTGAGTGGAGATTCCCCTCACTGTCCTCCAGATGGCATGTGTTTAATACTGCCGGGGTGGCTGGCAGAACTGGACTGTCTCTTGGGAAGGGAGCCACAGTGACCCTCTCAAGGTCCCTGGTGGTTGTATCTTAGTAGTATGTTGAGTGACAGCTTGGAGACCCAGCAATGCATGGGAAACTCCCACTCCCCCACCCCTTGCTTCTATATCTTTTGGCTCCACAGAGGAACCCTTTGGGCAGGGAACAGCAGAGCTCTTTCCAGTTTTTCAGCAGATGGGGGAACCTGCTCTGCCAGCAGTGATAGCCCATTTGAGGTGGTATCAAGTGTCACAGATGTTCTCATTCAGAGCAGGGAATCTGGAGGGGATGAGGATCATTTCAACATCACTGTGACCTGCCATTTGTCCAGGGTTAGAGAATGTGCTAATCCCTAGACGATGGACTTAACTTACTCTGTGCAGCAGTCCCACAAGGTGTTATTAACATGACTCCTATTTCGCAGATGAGGAATTAGGCCCCACGAAGGACAGTGGCTTTCCAGGCTCATAGAGCCAGTGCTTGGTACAGCTGGGCCTAGGACTTCTGTCTGCCTGGCTCCAGAGCCCAGGTTCCTCTCCTCAAGCAGAAAGGCACACTAGCAGTGCCTAAAAGACGAACTGGGCTCTGTGGGCAGGTGGGGGCCTCTGATGGGAGCCTGAAGGTGCCATGTTCCCCAAGGAGCACTATAGGAAGAGATTAAGGAAAAATGTTTTAAAATGCCCTCAGGAAACTTGCTCTTACAATGAACACTATTGTGATTTTACAGATGTAAAAGTACTTTCCTATTGCATATGGTCTTAAGAGTGGGCATACCTGTCAAAAAGCTTTTTCCTAAACTAACTTCTAGTAAGTCAGAGTGGATTTGTTGTGATAATGCACCACTCTGGGGGTGGAAACCTCAAAGGTGTCCGTTCTCATAGCATGAGTCACATAAGTTTGGGCCCTGAGTAAGGACAGCATTTAATCTTCATAACAGTCTGATGATCTGGGACCTTGTCTGTATCATAGCTAAGGAAAGCGATGCTTAGGATAATCCACCCAATGCCAGATATGGCCTGGATGACAGAAGGCCCAGGAGGTAAATGGGACTCTGCCTCCAAAGTTTCCTTCACAAACACAGAATTAGTCAAACCTTAAACCCAGTAGTTTCCTTTGGATCTCAAAGTTACTGGCCCCAGCAATAACAAAATGACATTTTAGAATACATTCAAAGATAAATACATTGTAGTGCCAAAGAAAGAGCTAAAGAACTCAATAGACTTTTAGCCAAAAGTCCATTCAGGAGATTAGACAGTAAAAGAGAAGGGACGGAGTTTTCAAAATCTGGGGCCACTGTAACCTTTTCTGTAGGATCATATACAGAAGATTCAAGTCTCAACCTTCATTCGACACACATCTATTCATATCTACTAGGTAGCTGCCTTGTACCCAGCACTGTTACAGGCAGTGGTGACCACCATCCAGGTACATTTCATCATGTCCATTTCTAGATACAGTGTCACAGATACTCTGCTCACACTGGCCTACCTGTTTGACACCAGTGGTCTGACCTATTCATCTCAGAACTAGAAATTCATCCTCTGTCAGAGATGGACGAACTCTCAGAGCACTCAGCCCTGTTCTCTCTACAGGCAGGAACTAAAGCCCAGGGTCACAGAGCTGCACAGCTGCAACAGGATCCAGCTACTCTGATTCAGTGCCAGGATTTGTTCCACAGGATGGGCTTTCTATGATAGCCACATAAAACCTCCTAATTCAGGGTGTGTGTTTTCTCTGATTACAGATCAGGTCTTCACAATCATCTCAGAATGGCTGATTTAAAAAGTCCTTTCATGACTGAAGACCTAGGTACATTTAAAAAATTAATCAGCAGTCACGAGTTAAACTTGACAAAAGGTTCCTCTATCCTCTTTTGCCTGTGTATCTGACGGCCCAGGAGAAGGTGCACCCTGACCACTCTGGGCAGAGGTTGAGCATCGTCCAAGGAGGCTATGGAGGGAGGGTCGAGTACCTGGCTTCCCTTTGCATGTCTTCTGTTGCTCTGGGTGGAGCTTGGAGAGGATGATGAACTTCATGTTGCCTATGGCTAAATTAAGCCTGTGCCCATGTCTTGTGGCCACTCTCAAAGGAGCTCAGTGGAGTCTCAGTTTCTAAGGGTCCATGAGAAGAGGCCATGGCTAGCTTTTGACTTTGAAGCTGTGATATTAAGAGTTTATGACAGTTATTTTACTGGGACGTTGCATATCTGAATTTCCTGAAAGACTGGCAAAGGAAGAACAGTTTATCTGTATAGTTCTGTTTTCAGATCACTGCACCAGTCATGAAATCAACCTCTTGTTAGGATTTCCAGGCAATGAGACCCAGTGCTGTGAAGATGAGGCTAACAGGGTAAGCAGGGATGGGAATCACTGCCTCTCTCTCTTTTTTTTTTTGGTACCGGGGAATGAACTTGGGTCCTTGCACTTGCGAGGCAGGCAGCAGAACCACTGAGCTAAATCCTGGCCCTACTGCCTCTCTTGAACATGTGTGGAGCCAAGCCTGTGCTGTCTTCCCTGATTCACACAACCACCAGGAGGTGGTAGCATCATGACCTTCACAGTATGCAAGCAGAGCAACTTGCCCAAGTCACAGTGCCAGGAAAGAGCAGGACAGGGATTTCAAGGCTAGCTGACTTTATTTTGAGCCTATGCGGTTTCCTTTTTTTTGTGGGACTGGGGTCCAACCCAGGGGTGCTCTACCACTGAGTTACATTTCCCCCACTTTGAGTTTCTTTACTTTGAGATATGGTCTCTCTAAGTTGGCCTCCAGCTTGTGATCCTCTGGCCTTGCTCTGCGCTGGACTGGAGCCTGTGCTCTGAATCACCTGACATTTGACTTCAGTGCCATCAGAGTGGAGGTTCAGCTGCAGACTGATTCTGATTCTGAGAATCCATTCATTGTCTCTTTCACTGCTAGCACAGCAGCTACAGCAGGAGAAATTCGTGGGAGTGATTCTCTGTAGAGGGGAGCACAGTCCTTGCTCATCTTAGTGCTGGAAAGTATTAAGACCTGGGTTTTAAGGCAACTCAGCCTTGAGGCCCAGTGCAGGTTCCTAGGATAGCCGCTGTCTATTCCAGGTGACCCCTGCCAATGCAGCCACTCATGAAAGCTAAGAGTCCTTATGTCTTCTCAGGTAGTTTGAAGGGTAAAGCACTGTATACACCATGAGCATGTTGCACTTCCCACTAACTGTGTAGAAAAATTCACAAGATGATGAAGGAAGTAAAAGGTACTTTTGTTTGGCTTCTGTGAAGGTGGTGGGAACTGAGCCCAAGGCCTCATGTGTGCTAGGCAAGCACCTGGCCACTGTGCTGAGCCCCAGACAAGATGGTGACTTTGAATACAACTGGCCAAAACTGCTCACTAGAAAACTTCTCCATTCTAACACCAGCCCAGTTGCTTACTAGAAATCTTTAAGTGTTTTGGGCAGAAGTTATTTTTAATTAGAAACTTTCTGTTCTCTTTTGGCCTCCAAACCTCACATTTTTCTTTGGTGCTATGATAATGAGAATAACTTGGCTCCAGGATGGTTATATTGCTGAAATTTTTAGGGTTTTCCCTAGACAAGACGCATTTCTATTTTATGAAAGAAACTATATCTGACCCACAAAGAAAAAAACACAGAAAGTTGAATGTTGTATGACAACTAGAGAATGAGTGGCCAATCCTGGAGGAATCCTGGCTGGCGTTTCTACTGTGCACAACCCCCACAGCCCTCCTCGGACGATGGAGGACAGAGGATGAAGGATGGAGGATGGAGGACAGGGTGGGGGAGTTTACCAATGGGTGTGACCCAGACCGGTCATCTGCCCTGGGGAAAGACCAGAGCACACACAGTAAGTATATCTGAGTAGGATGTGGGCCACTCTGGAAGGCCTAAAAGCTGGATTGGAATGGTGGAGAATTACCACTTTTTTCCTGGTGCTGAGGATTAAACCAGGGCCTTGGGGGTGGTATGCAAGTGGTCTGCCACTCACTGAACTGCAACCCCAGCCTTAGTGTCACTCTTTTTTTTTTTTTTTTGGTACCGGGGATCGAACTCGGGTCCTTGAGCTTGTGCACCAGGTGGCGAAACCACTGAGGTAAATCCCCAGCCCCCCTTAGTGCCACTCTTAAGACATAACTGTGTCCCCGTCCCCTGCAGATGGGATAAACACTAGGAAGCTGTTCCTATTTCTGTGTACAGGTTGATACCTGAGTGCAGCAAACTTAATTTAGGAACACTTGGTTGAATTAATGCTTTGTTGTTTTCCCCACTAAGTCATTAATTACCTAGACAGGCCTGGAAAATATGAGCTACACAGCCTCAGGCAGCACCTCATTGCCTGCTTGCCTGCCTATCCATGTCTGAAGCCCTGGCACCGCATACAGCAGATGACAGGATCAGCATGGGCTTCATTATAGTGAAGCTTCATGGGACAGGGGTGGGCAAGGGACCCCTTCTTTCAACTGCCACAGACTGCAGCTCAACAGTTGGAACCTGGAGGAGGCAGTCACTAACCAGAATGGATATGCAAAGATGCTTATTCCCAGTGCAGTAATACGCGGGTTGTCAAATAATCTGTCATTCCAGTTAATTTAATTATCAGACCACATTTAATTAGCCAATACAAAATGTAAATAAACTGAAGGGCTGACAGCACATACTAATTATGTTCATTATAATAATTAAATGGCAAGGAATTCAGAAAGAGTCATGAAAATACCATAAAATATAGGGAGGCTTTTGATTGAAACAATAACATTTTAATTAGAAACTGCTACCCTATAGGAAAGAGATGATTGGTTCCATCAAGGATGGGGCATTACTTTTATTATCTAGGTTTCTCTTCTGAAGTCATCCTTGGTATCAAGGGGCTCAACCCTTCCAGCTAATAGACTAAGTGGTGGCAAATAAAAAATGCCAATCCTTTATGCAAAGTGGTTACCTAATTAAACTGATTAGGGCTGCAGCAGCATTTTTGGATTCCCTGTCTCAGGGACACAAGCTCTTTCCTCAGTAGGAAATTAACGAATCCCTGCTGAAAACAGATCCTTTGAATTAATCTGATTCCTGACTAATGATACAGAAACATTAAATGAACTAAGCATCAAAAACTCCCCATGAAATTCCTCTGATTAGAAAGAGTAGGACAGCTAAATAAATCACTTCCATGAATGGAAGTGGGTAGCAAAGGTGGTGCCACCTGATTGCCTGTGTTGAGCTGGGTGAGGCTAGAGCCCTTCCAGGATGAGTGTGTGATGGAAGCTGGGGTAACTACACTGACTGTATCCCCTCAGCAAATATTCTCTTAGAAAATTGCTGGGGACTCTGAGAAAACTGTTTTTTGTTTTTTTTTGGGTACCGGGGATAGAACTTGGGTCCTTGTGCTTGCAAGGCAGGCAGCATAACCACTGAGCTAAATCCCCGGCCCCAGTAAAACTGGTTTTTTGAAAATTTTTAGTTATAGGAACCTTGCTGATTCTGCTGGCTGTTGTAACCTCAGCAAGCTCATGGCTACTTCCCACACCCTGCCCGTGCCATGCAGCCTGCTTGGCGAGTATGCAGAGATGGATACAGTGTCACAGAGCAAGAAGCCCCTGTTGTGTCTGCCAATGGGTTCCTGCAATTCCTATCAGGAGAGCCAAGGTATCCTGAGCTTTGAATGCTAAGCATAGTGGACAGGCAGCTTATCAAGGTGCCTGGTCTGTCAGGATTTGGAGCAGAGCAAGGAGGATCTGAAACTGAATCCCCATGTGGTCCAGAGTGCTGCTCTGTGGGTGGTTCCAGTCTCAGCCTTTAAAGTGTCAGACCCTGAGCTCACAGGGAGATTCAGTATAATCCTCTTGCTCCTCTCCTTCTTTTTATTTTCTAAAGTATTCATAACATATAATTTTCCTGTTTAAACTTTTTTTGTGTGTGGTATTGGGATCAAACCCAGGGCCTCATGCAAAGCACTCTACACCCTCTGTTCAAACATTTTTAACCCCACAATTCAGCAGCATGAAGTCACTGACAGTGCTATGGAACCCTCACCACTATCCCTTCCCAGAACCAATCAGCTTCTCTATAGTCAAAGATGCTCCAATCTTGAGAAGAGAAAGGACTCATCTAAGGTCACACTCTAGTGGCAGAGCTAGGGCTAGAATCCAGGATTTTGATTTGTAAACTGTGGCCCACTTGTGCACAGGAAACATGTTTACTTACACCATCCCAGAATCTTTGAGTCACCTGTGTGAGGCACAAAAACATACCCCAGAGACTTCTGCATCAGCATCCAGAGGGCAGAGCACCTGCTTCTCAGAGAACTGTCTTGGTGAGTGTGCACCATTGTCCATTATACACTTCAGTGAGGTGAGCAGGGCACCCTGACTTTAAGCAATGTGAGAGATGGAAAGTGCACTGGGTGAGCTCTGCAAGCCTGTCTTGTAGTTTGTTCTCCCAGAGAACCTCTAAGACATTTCACGAGGCTTACGGCACCTCTTGGAGCCTTGAGTCCTCATCTGTCAGAGGTAGGAATAACCTCTGTTTCACACCTTCCCTGAAGTTCTCATGAGGTAAAAGGTAACAGAGGGGAAGGGCCAGGGATTTAGCTCAGTGGTTCTGCTGCCTGCCTCGTAAGCCCAAGGACCTGAGTTTGATCCCCGGTACCAAAAAACAAAAGATAACAGAGGGGAGAGCAATATGAAGAACTCAGCACACACAGGGGTAATGCTTAGAAACAGCATCTCCATAAGGCATGGTGTCTCAGATTTTAGCAATTACTATTTTTTCTATCAGTTTCTTATTTCTTTTTACTTTCTATCATACTCTTTCTTCTCATAGATTTGTTGTATTTCAGCAATTGCCCTAGGCCTGAACCAAGTTTCCCCTACCTCAGAAAGTGGATGTCCAGTTTAGAATTCAGTCCTTCTGGGAGGCAAGGTTTTGAAACAGAAGGCCTGGCTTTTTCACTTTTCTGGTTCTTCCTAAGAGTGAGGTTACCTCTCAGTAATGACCTCCAAACCTTACTGCATCCTCTTCATCCTCAATGGACAAGTGTTAGGGTTTCAGTCTCCTCCTATTGCCTAATGTTCCCTCTGCCCATTTCATCTGCTTTTTTCCAACCAAACATGTTCAGCCTCCCCTTTCCCACCTGGCCATTGAGAAACACACATCCCATGACTCCCATCTCTGTTCATGGTGATGAGACCAAAGACACTTTTATGTTTTATCTAAATCCCACCACTGTGGGATGCAGAGACAGGAGGATCACAGGCTCTGAAATCACATATAATTCTGAGTCCTGTCAGCTTATCATAATGGAATTGGTTTATGCAAAAAGTTTCAAACATCCCTACCATTAAATATGCTAGACAGACAAACCTTTTGCTGTAGAATCGCACACAGCCAATATTATCACACATGCAAATTCCTTAATTCTTTACAAGTGTAGCCGAGTGTCATGATATAGTGAACCACTTCAGCATAAAACAGGAAGCGGTTAGGTAAACTGTGAATGTCCACACAAGATAGAGCTGTGCAGCCATTAAAATGACTCCCAGAGAGAGACTCTGATCTGGTATGAAGACCAGGACATGGGCAAGTGTGTAGTCTGTAAAGCTGTTCCAGGGAAAGTGCCAGAAAGGGAGCCTGGCTCTCTCAGGTGGTGCGAGCAAAAATAGCTATGATTCCATTTCATTTTTTTATACTTACTCTGTCTTTTTCACAATAAGGAAGAGTTTTATAACCAGAAAAAGAAACTTCTAAAGGGAAATAAAATGTAATTTAGTAGCTTGAATGAACTCACAGGAAGGACAGAAATCTACCAGGAGATTCCCCGTTCCCTAAGCAGCTTGCAGGAGACTGGGGATCTGCTGGGCCTGGCCTACAGAAAGGATGGTACACCTCTACCTAGAAGGCCTGCAGGGTCAGGGGGTGCTGCTGATGGCTCAGGGGTGGGGGATGAGGCAGAGCTGCTGCCTGATTTCCTGCAACAAGGTCTGAGAAGTAGAGATTTCTATTTGATACTCATTTTGGGAAGGCCCTAGATTACCTATATTTTAACCATGGAAATACCATTTTAAAATGGACTACATATTCCTTAACCCTGTATAGGGACCATGCAGGAGACATGTTTACCTGTGTTACACAGGGTCAGCATGGTTGGCATCTGCAATGCAGGGAAACATAGCACAGGGCTTAGTGTCCTTTGCCCCTGAAAGGCTGGGATTCTGAGTTCCTGGGCCTGCCTTATTTTCTGTGCTCCTCCTGTCAGTCAGGCGGGCAGTGTCAACCTCTCAATGAGCAATTTCTTGCCTTGCACTTGGCTCTGGAAAACCCCTCTCTTCCTGCCCTGGTCTGGTTTGCTGCAGGCTAATATGAGCCTAGAAAGCCCAATGGTCTGAAACTTGCCTAAAGTAAAAGTTAGTAAGCTCAGAGTGAGACTAAGGGGAGTCCAGAGTTCTGTTTCTTAGCTCCAATCTACAGACGTAGGGGGTTTCAGATAAAACTGGCTGTCAGGAATTCTCACCCTTTTTGATATGTTAGTTATGCCAGACTCTGGTTTCAAAAACAAAGAAATAAGGCATCTTATTATTATTATTTTACAAAGTTTGTAACAGATTTTCCACCTTCATAAAGCAGAAGAATCCTATTTACACATGAAATCTTACTTAGAAACCAAGCAAAGCAGTTGAAAGCAAAACTTGTCTAGAACTCAACTAGGAAAGGAGCAAGTCCTGCCTCTCAGACTCCTGTCCAACACTATTCTAGGCAGAAGCCAAGAGCCAAGAATAGCTTCAGATGCAAAAGCTACCTTATCAAAACCAAACCAAACAACAACAACAAAAACAACTGGTGACCAGAGCATCAGAATCTATGTGCTAAGGGAACAGATGGTGAAGTTTACCTGCTAAGGGAGGAGGTTCTGTGAAACTTAAGACGATTTCATTAAAATACTTTCTAGCTCTGAGAGGAGACCTTAATGCTACCTGGTACTGATCAAGTCTCCGGAGAGGTGAGGCCAGACACACCTCCAGAGCCAGGGCAAAGGGCCCTGCCCAGGGCAGATGGGCTCCAGCAGGCCACCCTGCCTTCTGTCACTCAAGCAGTTCGCACTCAGCCCTGGGAGTGGGCCAGCAACCTTCCGGGCCTCTTACCTGGTTATCTGGGTGGTTGACAGTGAAGTAGCCCACACAGACGATGACCTCATGAAGGAGGCTTTCACAGGAGACGTGGCTGCAGTGGCCCAGCAGGGAGCTGGCCATGTGCCGGAATGCAAGGGACAAGCCCTCTGCCCCTACAATAGACTGACAGTGACAGGAGTGGTTAGGACTCCCAGCCCCAGGAGAGATGGACTACAAATCACACAGTGAGCCAGGCCTGTGTACTCTCTGCAAGACTGGGCAGCACAGGACGGTTCTGCAGGACTATGCTTAGCAGTGCAGCTAGCAGGTGGTTATTCTGTTAGTGACATCACACCTGGGATGTTTGCCCTGATGAGGGACAGGAAATAGAGCACAGCAGACAAAATGCTGGGACCATGTAAGACATAGTCTCTGAAAGCATGGTTATCAATTCCATTTTAATAACTTAATTTTTCTCATTATATATATTTTAATTGTAGAAAATTTAGAAAAGTATACAAATATTAAAATGCATGTAAATATATCACTTAACTAACTTCCAATACTTCTTTTCTGAAGGACAGAATATTTTCTTGTACAAAGAGATAAACGTACATATCTAGTTAGTCATCTATATTCAAACAGAAAAGAAATAAAAATAAGAACTAGTGATTATTCAAATAAATAGCTCTATAAACCACAAGCTTCCAAAAGAATGTGAAAAACCAAAGCCCCCCACTCCCCTAACCAGGAAGCCCCTCAGCTCTGGGCTCCTGGGATCCTTTCTGCAGACAGGCCAAGGCTGCCAGCGGGGGCTCGGGGAGCCACGGCTGCCTGTGTAGCCTAGAGCTTCTATTTAATAAACATGTCAAACAGACAGAGCGACAGGAGGCCAAAGGGGAGAGGCGAGGCCCACAGAACACACTGCGGCCCACATTGGAATGAAGCTCCGCTGCAGGCTGTGGGAAAAGGCTGCGTTTGAAACTCATCTCCTAATTTGAGGTCTGGCTGGGCTTGAACCAAGGCAGATGTGCTGCAGCTTGGAAATTTCAGTGACTTCACTTTGCAGAGCAGAGGGTGAAACGGAGCCCTTCAAGTGGGTATCACTGAAACAAAATGGGAGCCAAATTTTAAGAGTGGCTTTAGTCTCCATTTCATTGCCCCAAGGTAGAAAAATGCTTTTCAAGCCCCAAAGAGGCTTTGGGATAGCTTTGTTCCTCTAAATCAAGCAGTGACACCTTCTCACTCAGCCCTTATTTAATTAGCTGCATCCAGCATGCTGTGACCCGGTGTTCTCTGTTTAACCTTCACTGATAAGAGCAGGTCAAGGAGCATGTAAGTTTGAATATAAAAATTAAAGCAATTTTTCATGGAAACTATATTTCCTTTTTTAGCCAGAACTAATTACCAAGTCAGTACATTGATTTGTTTCTCAGGACCACCTTCAACTGTAAAAACTGTCAGTGTGAATGCAATCTACAATGTCCCTGGTCTCAGGGCCAGCTGTGCCAATATGATTTCAGAGTGAACTTACACTCTGTGTATAGGGAGAATATCCTAACAGCCTTATTAGTGTACAATGAGATGGAGCCCGCTAAGAAAATATCCTAGTGGCTCCCCTCATATTCCTGTTGTACACTGCAGCTTGCATATAGCAGTGGTCAGGTTGTGGCCCAGGAAGGGTGGGACACACTGGAAACACTTCCTGCACCCCTGATTTTCTGACTCTACATCTTACAGATAGTCTGGGAGAACTCTTCATCTGAGGAGGCTGAGTCAGTCCAACATTCTGAGTGTCTACTGTGTACCAAAATCTTATTTATTTATTTATTTTTGGTACTGGGGGTTGAACTTGGGACCTTGCCCTTGTGAGGCAAGCGGTACAACCACTGAGCTAAATCCCTGGCCTCCAAAATCTTTTTATTTAGAGAGATGGGGATCAAATGCAGGACCTCAGGCATGCTAGGCAAGTGCTCTGCCACTGAGTGGTACCTCTTGCTCTGCAATTCTATCTAATCCTCAGTTTTGTGAAGTAGATGTTTTTCTGTTTGTCTTTTTGGTGTTTTGAGACGGTCTCACTGTGTAGCCCAACTGGTCTTAAACTCACAATCCTCCTGCCTCAGACTCCAGGTATGTGCCACCCTACACAGTGGAGACAGGTGTTTCTGATCAGATTTACAGATGGGGATACTGAGCCCTAGGAGTTTAGATGACTTGTCTAAGTGGGTCATAGACCCAGGCTCTGCTGAGGGTGCCTCCCTGAGATGGCTCTGTGTTCCTGTGATGTTGGGGTGGCTCGTGTCGATCAGTTTCCTTCTCCATGTTCCTCTGTGAACCCCAGGGTTGTCTCTCAGGTCACTTTCCTGTTGAGATGCACGTCCTCCTCTTTCCACCTGAAATCTCTTTTCTTGCCCTTCACAAACATAACTCCTAACATCTCACTCATGACATATAAGTTGTTTCGATGAACTAGAACATGAGTTTCTCTGACAACATCTATCATAAAAATAGTCCTTTTCTTCCAAACATACCCACTGGTATATTGTGCACACAATGTGTGTTTACTGAGCATTTCATGCTTGCTCACATAATTTACACTCATGGTGGCTGTGTGGAGAGAGGTATCACTTTAGCTTGCTGACTAGTGTGGCAGTTCACAAATGGCCACAGATCACTGACATTTCTCCCATGGAAAGGGGAGCCTCTTTCTCCCTCCTCTTCAGTCTAGAAGGCTGAGGCTCATTCAAACAACAGGGTGATTGACATGTAACTGTATGACCAAAAGGATGGCAGCCAGGACCTTATGAAGTCGGAAGAACAGAGGCCCAGCAGGAGTCCTGCTTATGCTCTGCTCCAGGGTAGGGGTACCTGGAGCTAGGGCTGAGGACAGAATGAGTAAAAATGACAGCAAGATTGAGTAAAATAAATGAACGTAGGAGAGACAGAACAGGGACAAAAAGGAAGAAAAACCGGGAAGGAAAGAAGAAGGAAATGGATTTGCATGAGAAATAGAGAAGAAAGAAGCCAAGGTACTGGAGCCCTGCAAGAACCAGCCAGGAGAGGCCACTCCACTCTGAGGGGAGGACATCTGATTCTGAGGACAGCTGAACACTTCTGGCAACCTGGTGCCTTCTCCCTGATGTTTCTGGTAAAAGTGGCTCAAGTAGGGACACCCTTTGGGATGTAATGGCAAGGCTCTGGAGAGAAGAAACCTTGGTTTTTATCTTGGTTAGGCATGAAGGGTTCCAGAAATATGCTTTGGATTTTTCTAACATTACTAGCCATCATGCTTCAAGGCCAGCAGGGAGCAGGCTGGAGCTCAGCGGTGCTCCCGGGTGAGGGAGGAACGTAGCAGAACAGGGCAGGGATCAAAGTTCCTGACAAGCAATGACTTACTCCAGACAATAGTGCACAGTGGGGCACAACCTGTGGCAGTATGGATTTAATCCTGGCCAGAAGGCACAGGAAACTAGAAGCTGAGAGAGTTTCTAGATACCTGTCTCTTCATAATCTCTGGATCAACCTGATGGGTAGAATGCTGGACACACCTGAAGACAAACTCTGAGGACAAAATTAGGGTCCCCTGATTTCTAAAATGTTTCTAGACCGAAGACAGTGGATTTGGATCTTCATAAAACACAGATGTTACTGTGAACAGAGGCAAAAAATCACTGGCTTTTTCTGGGGAGCTATCTCCCCTTTAGGTATCGCTGTAAACTCCCAGAACTCCACATGTCATGTGTTTACCCCCTAAGGCTGGTTCAGATGCTCTGGAAACAGAAACACCCAACTCTGAGGGAGGGATTTCTGTTCTTGGTACAGATAAAACAATTATACAAAGCTGAATGATTCTAGATGCAATGATACAGCTTATTAATTTCCTCTTTTGAACAGAATGACAGGAAGATATGAATTATAGAACTGCCCATTTGTCAGCAGCTGCAAAACAAAAGTGTTTCTTCCACCTCAGGATGGCAAAGAGCACCATTTTCATACGTTTGCATCTCTATAACCTTTTCCCTCTGAGCAAAGTTATTTATCTAAATTACGGGTTCATCACCTGCCACGTTTTTCTTTTTTAATGAAATCACTTGACAGTTAATAAACTGAAAGAGAAAGTCTACTCCTTGGGGCTTGTTCTGTTCCAAAGGTTTGGTGTTTTTGAAAGTTAAATATCCTATATGAAAAAAAGTCTGCTTTTAAACTGACAGTCTAGTATTATAGCACAAAGCAATTTTTCTCTCTTTAGCTATAATAATTTAATTTACAGGGGTTTATAATTTAACTGTGCATGTACTTTACATTGTATACAAATCAGTTAAATCACTCATTGACAGTCATTTCAATCAAAATAATGTATCTAACTTTGGTTCTGTTTATGTAAGAAACCATTACTTTCCTTCATATTTAAAAGTTGATGGGAAGATAATACCTTTATCTAAAGAACTCAGGTCAGAAGGCTTGTAAGAGCCCTATGGCACAGGATGAGCTTTGGCGGTCCTGGGGTCCTGGTTCGGCCATGTGGAACTCTGTGCAAAGTACTAATTGCCAATGTCTCAATCTGTGTGGTCATTATGAGAACAAAAGAGGAAGACATGCAGAGGAACTAGTACAGTTCCCAGAAAACAGTAGCTTAATAAATGGTAGATATATTATAATTCTATTGATTGTAGTTTGTTTCTTATGCCTCAATGTACCTCACATTATATCCACATTAAAATATTAACTGCCTGGCTGGATAACAGCAACGGAAACCAATGCTTGGTACCTGAAAAGCCGGCAGATCCAGCACTGCAAAGCTGTTGAAGAAACGCAAACTCTGAATGGCGACTTGGACAGTGTTCTGAGCGTAGCTCTCCTTAGGGCTGGCCGAGCTGGGGTCCGAGATGGTGCCATGGAAGAGGATGCAGTAGAGCATGTGGAGAACTCCAGCCAGGTCTGTGGTCTGAAGAGCAGCTGTCAGCCCCGTGGGGTCCTGGCGATTACTGTCAAATATACTATACGACCTGACAAAGAAACATTCAAGTCTCTCAGAGGAATCTAGTTAAGGGATGTTAGCATTTTTATAGGTCAAATGGAACAAGACAAGCAGACCGTTAAAAGCAAACCATCTGAGTTGTGTAATGAGGTAACAAGAAACCTCCAGGAACCAATGCAGCCCTCCCCACCAAGTGTACAGGGCTTCCCTTTTTTTCCCCAGGGATATTGGGTTGCTGTAGCAAGGTCCACTGTGCCTGCTGTAGCTAGGGCTGGGCTGCCACCACCACCCTACACTCTGCAGCCTTGGCAGCCCCACTTTGTTTAATGCCTCAGTTGGGCAAACTGCACAGAACAGTGAGAACTTCTGAGGCCAACACCACAAATGTTTCCTTTTAGATACACAAAGAGCATCTTCTCACGGAAGGCAGGTACCAGGAAAGCATGCAGCCTCAAAAGCCTGGTAATGCGTTGGTACACAGGGATGGAGACCCTCCAACTGCTTTTGCAGGTACTGTTTCAGCATTGAGGAATATGTTGAGATGGATTGTAGAGACCAGAGTCACAAGAACAAGCAAGTGCCGGATTACATCGATGTAAATCACTGTGACTGAGGCAGGGAGTGCTCTAGATGAGCAAGAAGAAGCAATTGTGGTAGGAAACAAAGTCTTAAAATCAAGATTACTGCAGCAAGGGTTTGCTGAATCCACCTTGTTTCTGAACTCAGGCATCACAGAGCACTGGGAGCAAGAGCAGACAGCCACAGTGAACACGGCTGCCAAGCATTCAATTACCTTCTTTCCCTCCTAAAAACTAGAAAGACTCCTTTCTGGGCTGGGGATTTAGCTCAGTGGTTCCAGCACCTGCACAAGGTCCTGAGTTCGATCCCCGGTACCAAAAAAAAAGAAAGTCTCCTTTCTGAGGAGCCTCCCTCACTCTACTTCCCTCCCTCACTGCCAGTGTGCTTCAAGTGCCCCCTCCTCATTTGCTCTGGGTTCTGGGTGCCCAGGCCCATGGCTGAGCTGCATACTTTGTGCCCCTGGCTCCTCAGTGTGGTTCAGAAGAGCATATGTCATGCTCATAAGTAATAGGATGGATGGAGGACTTCTGCTGAGAGGCCTAGAAAGAAGCCCTTGCTTTTCCTCTGTGGGGTATGAATCTGAGGAGATACAAGGTCTGGAGTGGTGACAGACACTTGATCCAGGCATCATATAAACTCTCAGGTCCCTCGGTACTGTTCCAAGAGGGCCTTACAGTTAGGTTACAGACTCAGCTTTTTTTCAGGAAGGGAAGTGGTGATACCCCAGTGTCCTCCTTTTATCTGGCATGATCTGTACTGTATGACACTGAGCAGTACTGTCCACTGTTACCCACATGGGATGGCAACTTTCCCTGGTATTTAACTTAAATACAGGTTTTCCTCTATGGTCTGTCATCCTTCCAGCTGGAACCTGGGCTGGGAGGCAGGCATTAAAGACCTATGCTCACCTCATGTATTGCCCAGGTGCACTTGAAAGACACCAGTAACTAAGAATCAGGATATGGTGGTTGGCAAGTTTCTACTATTTTGTCTCCTTTTAAAAATTCTAACTTATTTTTCGGACTATTTTATTCATTTTAATTTCATGTTGTAGTAAAGTAGTTTTGTCCATAACCACCCACAGTTAGCATTTATTTCTTGAATGTATCCTGTTTCTTTTTCTTTTTTTTTTGGTACAGGGGGTCGAACTCAGGACCTTGCGCTTGCGAGGCAGGGCCACTGAGCTAAATCCCTGGCCCCATATCCTGTTTCTGATGTTTCTAAGAATGCAATCATGTAGTCTGACATCTTTGTCTACTTGTTCTTTTCTCCAGAAAGCAGCTCTCTTATGAAATACTGGCATCTTGTTAATATGCAGGCTCTGCTGGTTACTTTCACATTTTCCACCTCTTTTCATTCTTACCAGTTTCCCACAGTTGGTAGGGAAGCTATTTTTCTTCTCAGTGACACACGACCTGGGCAGATCTGGTGAGACGCTTCTGGTCACACAAATTTGCTAGCAGCAGACACAGGGGACTATGCCTGGCTCTTTAAAGGCAGTGCTTTGTCCAGAGACCAAACAGAAGGGAACCTTTTGTTTTCTCACTGGTTTCTCTTATGTCAGGTTTCACAGTTAGCTCAATACTATTCAAGTACATACAGACCACAACACAATCTTACATGGTATGATACGGAGACATTTTTGACTTACAAAACTCAATAAAAGCATGACTTTAGGAAGGACATTTATTCGATTATAGGCACATCTGAACCTTTACACAAACTTTGGCTAATGTCAGTGGGCTCTCACTTCCTTCCATTAAGGCTGAGAGAGTTAGAGGTCAGACCCTAACTAGAGACACGAGTGGAGATTAATGTGTCTGAGTTTATTATACAGGTTCCCAAAAGGGGCCTGTGTTTGTTTAAAATTGACTGCCTTTTAGAACCAATGACAAGTCAAAGGACATTTCTCCCTAAAACTAATTTCTAATGGGCTTTCATAATCTTAGGGACAAGTGACACCACTGCTGGTGTGACAAGTTTTACTGCTCTGTGGCTCAGAATACTGATTTCCTTTCTCTCACTGTTTGTAACTACTGCTAAATTATCAGCATCTTCTCACACAGATATTCAGGAATACAGCCCTATCATTTAAAACACTTTGCAAGATTTAATCTTTCCAAGCATTTATTAAATGACACAAACTTACCATTTCCTCTTCCTAAGAATGCAAAAAACTGAATAAATAAATAGAGGGAAGGTCATTAGAACAGCTCCCGTCTTGTACCATCATTTAGCACAACACTAATCTGACAGATTACAAAACAACACAGCCTCAGTCTTTTGCAAATACACGTCTAATAAAGTCAGTGTTAAGATCAATAGAATTCAGATGTGAAAATGGTTCAAAAATACATATTTTATTGGTTTGGAAAAATATTTATTGTAAAGTGAGAGAATGCAAGGGGCTGGGGAGGCCTGTGTGCTGCTCTTGGCTTCCTCAAGGACTAATGCAGACATGAAGGGACTGTAAAGGATGTTTACTTTTGATCCAGCCTGAAATATGGATAATCTGTCCATGAATAGGCTACTGACTCCTGTTGGTCTTAACTGTCAGTTATAATCACTTTAACCCTAAATGTTTATAATAAAAAAAGGTCTTATTCACATCAGGCATGAGTTATAGAGTTTTCTTTAAAAAATACATGGAAGATGGAAAAAATCAGATCTGAAGTTCTGTATACTACCCTCTGAGATCTTCATTTTACCAGATTTCAAGGTGTTTTTGTTTGGACTCTAATACTACAGATCTTAGTGGGATATTCATTTTTGTTCATTAAAGTTAGATTCCTTTCAGAAAAACTGTAACTATAGCTAATACTTCTGCACTGTGCCTGAAAACACTCTTTGCCTTACAGGAGAGTATGGCTGCGACAGAAGAGTATGGCTGAGCAAAAAAGCAGTGATTTGTGTGGGCATGAAGTATTCCATCTCTGGTATTAAACCATTGTATACCCTGCCTTGCTTGGCCTAAAAAGGCAGTTGAGGCAGCTCCTGACTCTATAATCCCTCCTGTGTTCCTGGCTTATTTTCTCTCAATTTGGTCCCAATTTCTAGCTTGGTAACATTCAGTCTGATCTCCTCTAGCATTGGTGATTTTCTAGCCTGTTCTCCTAGCTCCATGTGTTTTTGGCTTTGCTCATGCCTTCAGCTCTGGGACCCCTGAGATAACTTGTAAGAACATTTAACAGAAGCCCCTGAAACTAGAGCTGCAGTAAGTCTGCACGGTGTTGAAGTGGTGGTGAAGTTATTATCTTTCTCAATAATGGATGAGAATCTCACACATAGGAGAGGTGAACTGTTTCTCGATAGATCTCCAGTATTTGGCTCTTGTCTTGGATACTCCAAGAAAGCCACCTGCGTCCAGTAACGTCCGCATTCACCAGGCCTTGTGGTGAGCACAAAGAGGAACGATGCTCTGTCAGAAACCTCATGTAAAAGCCAAGATACTGTGCTCCAAGAACAATGAGCTCTTGTGATACGCAAGGTCAAGGAAGACCAGGCCCCTGTTCAGAGGATGGCGCCGTCCAGCAAGGGCAGGGAGATGTATCAGTTTTCTACTGCTACTAGAACAACTTACCATAAGTAAGTGGCTCACAACAATATAGATTATCCTATGGTCTGGAGGTTAGAAATTGAAATTATCTCACTGGGTAAATCTAGGTGTCACAGACCTGTGAAGAAGGGGGGAAGCTATTTCCTTGCCTTTGCTAGCTTCCCAAGTGCATGCATTCATTGCCTTACAGCCCCATACTCCATGTCAAAGCCAACCGCAGATCATCTTCAAATCGCTCCTTAACACTGACTTTCCTACCTCCCTCTACTTCTGAGGACCCTTGTGATTACTTGGATCTGCCTATATAATCTAAGACAATTCCCTCTTCTCAAGATCCTTAGTGATACCTGCAAAATCCCTTCTGCCTTGCAATATACACAGGTTCTGGGGATAAGCATATAGATATCTTTGGAGAGGTGTTATTCTGCCTACCACAGTGGGCTCATTCATTCATTCAACAGATATTTATGGACAGCAAGCACTTTTCTAGGCACTGGGATCCAGCCATAAAACCTGTGCTCTTATGCTCATGATGCTACATTTTAGTTCAAGAAAACAAATTAGCAAATATATAAATCAAATACTGTATATGGTATGTCAGGTGTGATAAATGCTGTAGATGGGCAGGGGACACAGCCAGGAATTGAAAAAGTAGGGATCTGTGTGAGGCTACTTTATGTAGGGTGGTCAGGATCTGACATATTAAATATAAGTTCCTGGTAGAAACTGTGAGTAGGAATTCTAAGAGGAAATGTCTGTCAGTGCCTTGTTATGAATATGACTTGTGCCTTAACCTTACTTGCCTGGCTTGATTTACTTTTTTCCAAACTATTTTGTTTTGTTCTAATTTTCTATCTTTTTTTCTCCAAGTTAAAAAAATGTGCATAGTTCTG